TTCAAGCTTGTTATCATCTCTTTAACCTTAATTTTGGGATTATCTTGCAAGCCTTTTTAAAAGTAAGTAGCTATTGTATTTGCATCAACTCTTTGGTTTTCAAATGCAGCTTCACATGTGTGCTCAGGCTCTAAAGTCTTGAATTTAACCCCACCCCCTGAAGAATCTTTAGATATATGACAATCAAAGGGACAGTCACCAACACAGATGTACCTAAGCCTTGTTAGGTCACTTTTAACTTGCTGCTAGTCATATCTATTTGCAAGAGAATACATGTTGATCATTTTCATAGCTTCAGGTATATCTTTAAATGTCATTGACCTATCTAACTCTTTATAGTCAATTAACTTACCATTGATGTCCCTCTTCTTTTGTTAAAAAAGTTGCTCCAATCCATCAGAACTTAATTCAGGAGAATCAGAATCATTTTCCTCACTATCATTATCACTACAATCAGTAGCAGCTTCAACTTCTACTGTGTGTGACTCAATGTGACTGACTATATTAGGTACATCAATTGCTGGTTCACACTCTTCTACAGCAAACAAATTAATAACATTACACTGCTCACTAATAAAGTCTAATAAAGTCCTAATCCCAACATCCCCATCTATTTTATAGTATCTACTACCGGGACCCTTTACTATTAGTTGTTGCACCCCTATATACCCAAACTTGGTATCATATTCATCAACTAAATCAGCATAAGAGAACAAGTCAGAGTCAAAATCTTTATTGATGTGCACATACTTCTCTTTATATATCAGATGTGGCTTACTAGTCCATTCCCCACCATGAAGAAAAACTAACTCAACTAGCACCATCTATAAAAGGCTGCATAATAACCATGAATAAAGTTATTACAGCCTACCATAGTAAATGCATAAAGAAGTAACAAAGACAAGAGGTATAGAAATAATAAATAAATATATAAAGGAAAGCTTGAATAAACAAAAGAGGGGATAATAAAGGGAATAAAAGGTACAGAGGTAGATGAATAAAGAAACAAAATTGAATGAGGTACTATGATAAAGAAATGGACACAAGCATGCATAGGGGGGACCATATAATAAAGTATCAAACTTAGAGTCCTACCTCAATAAAATAAGCACAAAACATATCTTTAAGAGACCCACATGAGCATCATCTTCAAAATAAATGCAGGTGAAACAAGGGACCAAATAACAACAAGTCAGTTATTAACAAATACTTCAAATCCTTTTTCAGTTAAAAAACCAACCATATGCGACCCTTCTTTAAAAAGCAAAAGGGACCACACATACTTGAAATCCTAAACAAGAGAAAGTTCTTCTAAAACAAAGTAATAATAAACCAAATATTATCAATTCCACCAATGTACCCTAAACGACCAACAGAAACAGACAAATAATTAGGGTATAAAGTTGAAGTCACATGCAAACACAAACAACGACAAAAACACAGACAAAGTAAAACCCTAAATGACAAATCACATATCTCAGCATAGAATAGTGAAATCCCCAAACCACTAAGCATAATCTAAAAACCCTAACTTTAACAGAAAAGAAATGTGAACCCTAAGACAAAAATGCTTCATTTATAAACAACAAGCATATGAAACTAGCAGAAAAGTTTAGATTTTGGGGGGAAATTTTACCTTGGACAGCACTAAAAACTGAAAATAGAGGATTTTCTTTTGAACCTTCCACACTCTTCTCTCTTGTTTCTATTGAAAGTATGCAGACCAAATGACCCTCTTTGTAAATTTAGATGGATCTACTTATTTATTTAGTTGGCAAACGGGTCGCGGGTCCCGGGTGGAGACAGAAATATAATGGGTCTGTGGGATTTTAATTTGGTAGGGTCGATGACATGGCAGCTGACATGGATAAAATTGATGGGATCAGCTGTCACAGTGTCAAAACGTTAGGGTTAGGGGTAATTTTTAAAACATCATTAACGGTAGGGACGAGAATGGATGAAAAGTATAACGGCTGGCAGAAGTAAACAATAAACAATAGTATAGGGGCAATTTTGAACCTTTTCTCTTTATTGTATTGTATTGTATTGTTACTTTAAATACATTATTTTTTTGTTTTTTACTTAAATTTTATTGTATCGTATTGTTAAATTTGTAACGACGAAAACTGCCACTTTATGGAATGAAGGATTTGATGTGATGACGTCGTTACCTTGCTTTTTTTTTTTATCTTGCCCTTTCTTATTATTAAATTATTATATTTTATCATTTACCCTACTTTTTTTTATATAATAACTCTACTCCATATCCTATTTTTTCTTAGTAATATTGCAAGTTTATTCTTCATATTGTTAGTGAGTGACATCATGAAACAACGGTAAACGATACAATCTTTTTAAACATTGTTGATGTTTAGCTTAAAGCATATATATTTCTATGTATATCGCCTCATATTTTACATTTGTTTCATAAATTTGGGATGTTAAATGCTATGATTTATATTAATTTGAAGTGTTTTTATGTGTGGGAATGATTCGGGAGCAACTGGGGCGAAACGCGCGAGATTTGAGCCAAAACGAACGAAACCGGGCAATGTGTGAATTTGGGCGCCACAGCCCTACCTGTGGCGCCAAAAATAGTAGCTCAAAATTGTGGGGCGCCGTGGAGGGTGCCTGGAGCTAGCCAGGGCACCGATGACGTGAAATTTCTCCAATTTCACCCGGGACAAGGTTATTCGGCCCTAGACCTACACAACACGTATAAAAGCAAGACTAAACCTATTTTTGAGGGGAGAGACGCACCTTGGAGCAAAAAGACACGCAGGAAACATTGAGGATCAGGAACATCTCAGAATTCTTCATCTTTTCTAGTATTTTCAATTAATCAAAACTTATGCAATTGTTTGATTATATCATGAGTGGCTAAGCACCCATTGTTCTGGGGTTGTGATTTAACCATGAATATTGTTGTTTAACGTTGACTTGACCTTGATTATAATTCACCAATATATTGTTGTTTCTTCAATTCTGTGTTTAATTGCTTAATTGTCTGGCCAGCAGTTAGGTTCTATTTACTATCTATGTTATGCTTGGGAAAGCCATGTTTAGATTAGAGAAGAATTGAAGAGAGCATGATCTTAACCCTTAGGGGGAGCGGATTTGTGGTTAGGATAGGAATATGCCTAGTCACCATGCTTAATTAAATATCGTGATCTTAATGCATTCTTAATAGATTGATTTCATAGGAATATAGGCGTTAATCTATTAAGAATAGGTGAGTAGTACTTCGGGAGAAGGCTATGAGAGCATTTATCGATTAATTAGCAACCATAAGTAAATTATATGAAAGGGAGAGTTAATTAGAACACAATACGAATGGTGAATCGATCACAACCCTGGAATATTTGTCTCTACTGAATACATAACAATCAACTCGTTACATGATAACTTAGTTATTATTTAGAATTGTAGTATAATATAATCATATTATTGGACTTTGATTTTAGCTGGATTGAATAACAATTTTAGTGATTTAGTGAGTAATTTACACAAGTCTCTATGGGTTTGACACTCAACTTATCATTATATTACTTGTCGACCACGTATACTTGTGTATGCATTTGGGAGCAACAAGTTTTTGGCGCCATTGTCGGGGACTTGAATATTAGCTACTTGCTAGTTTTTGCTTTAATTGTCTATTTCATCGAGTCTAACGTTACTTGATTGTTGCTCGGATCTCAGGAACTTTGATTGAATGCGTAGGGTCAGGAGCCAAGACCGACTTAAAGGCTTTGATCCTGAACCTGAGAGAACATTTCACAGGAGGTTGAGGGAAGCAAGGGACACGAACAATATTCAGGCACTTGTTCAATTTCCTGTGGACATGGCAGAGGAGCAACCCATGGCTGTTCAGGAGATGGCAATGCCCAACATTGCTAATGTCACCTCCAGTATAGTGAAGCCCAGGATCACTGGGCACTTTGATTTGAAACAGAGCATGATCCAGCTACTTCATGCAAACGGGCAATTTATGGGTCTTCCACACGAGGATCCACAGTAGCATATTTTGAACTTCTTGGAGATTAGTGATACTTACATCACTAACGAGGTCACTCCAGATTATGTGAGGCTTACACTTTTTCCATTCTCTCTATTGGGCGAGGCGAAGCGATGGCTAAAAGCAGAACTAGCTAATTCAATTACATCATGGAATGATTTGGCAAGAAAATTTCTGGCAAGGTTCTTCCCTTCAGGCAAAACTGCAAAGATCAGAAGTGAGATAGTTGCCTTCAAACAGAAAGTAGGAGAATCTTTATACTCAGCTTGGGAAAGGTTCAAGGGGCTACTCAGAGACTGTCCTCATCACAATCAGACGAATGAAGTGTTATCTCACACTTTCATAGAAGGGCTACAATCTGAAACAAAGATCGTGGTAGATGCTGCAGCTGGGGGGTCAAGTGTTGGAGAAAAGCTTTGACGAGATATATGCATTATTGAACAAATTCTCCAAGAGCAATCCGGATTGGCAGAGAGAGATGGGCAGACACACAGTGCAAAAGTCTGTAGGGGTTCTTGAGTTAGATGTCGTCTCAACATTATCAGCGTAAATTTCTACACTGACCAATCAAGTCAACCAGATGAACTTGAGTATCAACAAGCAACAGGTACAACATGTTCAAGCTTTTTGTGAAATATGTGGAGAGGGGCACACGAGCGACATATGCCCCGCAAACCTAGAGTCTGTCTACTTTGTGGGTAATTCAAATAGGGGTCAAACAAACCAATATGGGAACACTTACAATCCCAACTGGAGGAACCACCCAAACTTCTCTTGGGGTGGAAACCAAGGCACTCAGAATCAATACAGGCCTCAAACACCTCAACAGCAATATAGACCACCTCAGGTTGAACAACAAGCGAGTCCTACAAGTCACCTTGAAGACATGTTGAAAAAAGTTATGGCTGAACAGTAGGCCCTCTCTCAAAAAATGATGGCTGAGCAGCAAGCCCTCGCCACAACAGTGAGAAATTTATAGCGTCAAATGGGACAGCTTGCCAGTGCTCAAAACACTAGACCAGCTGGAGCTCTTCCAAGTGATACTGAGCCCAATCCTAAAGCTCAAGTCAATGCGTTTACCTTGAGAAATGGAAGAGCACTAGAAGAAGTTCCAAAGAAAAAGAAGAATACAGATCATCCTGAAGGAGAATTAGCTCCCAAGCCAGTTGAGGGGAATGAGCAAGATGATAAAAGACCCAAGCCAGTAATTGAGAGTAGGCCACCACCTCTGTTTCCACAAAGACTGCAGAAGCAAAGAGATGATGCTAAGTACAAGAAATTCCTAGATATTTTGAGCCAAGTGAGTGTGAATCTGCCTTTGGTGGAAATTTTGCAGGAAGTGCCTAAGTATGAAAGGTATCTCAAAGATATTGTGGCAAACAAATGAAGACATGCAGAGTTTGAAACAGTTGCACTTACTGAAGAGTGCAGTGCCACAGTTCAGAGTAAATTTCCTCCTAAGTTGAAGGATCCTGGGAGTTTCACAATTCCTTTGTCTCTTGAAAAACAAGAAGTTGGTAGAGCCTTCTGTGATTTAGGGGCCAGTATAAATTTGATGTCATCCTCTTTGTTCAAGCAACTCGGATTGGGGGCACTTAGACCTACTACAATCACTTTACAACTAGCAGATAGGTCACTAGTCATGCCCGAAGGAATTATTGAGGATGTGTTAGTTCGAGTGGGAAAGTTTATTCTTCTTGCTGATTTTATTGTTTTTAGTTACGAGGCAGATGAGGGAGTGCTCATTATTTTGGGGCGACCATTCTTAGCTACTGGTGAAGCAATTACTGATGTGAGAGCAGGGAAGTTAAAAATGAGAGTTGACAATGAGGAGGTCACTTTTAATGTGTACAAGGCACTTAAGCTTCCTAAGCATTATGGGGACTTGTGCATGATTACTGTGGTAGAATCGAAGGGGATAAAGCAGAGTCCTTATGTGAATTATAGTGATCCATATGGGACAACTGAGTTAAAGGAGGTGGTATTTCCAGCTGAGCGTGTTAAGATGATTGAGAAAAGAACTAGAGATGAAAGAGGAGACCTTCCGAGAGCGTGCAAAAAGGCTAGACTTCATGGGAGAAAGAAGAAGAGAAAGCGCCCAGCCTGAGCAAAATAGCAGAGTCGTGCCACGACTATAAATAAGGCACTTGTTGGGAGGTAACCCAACCTGTATATCTTTTATCTATTGATTACTTTTTTTTTAGTATCAAGTTTTGTGCTGTTTTTATTTTGCAGAGCAGGGGAAGTCTGAGTACCCAAAGTTGAAGTTGAGGAGCATGTTTGATCTTAAGTGTGGGGTCGTCACATTCCTTTAATATTGAGGATCATGTCCGAGCTAGGTCTGAGAGGGTCTCAAGGAGTATTTCTCACCCTTGTTTTAATATTTCTCTATGATCCTGCATTGAGGACTATGCATAATATAAGTGTGGGGTGGGGAAACTACTTTCTGGAGTATAATTGTTTTTATAACTCGTAGTAGACATAGTCTAGGTTAAAAAAAATAAGTAAATAAAAAAAAAGTTGCAAAAGCTCGGACTTTTCCCGACAATGGATCTTTTGGACAGTTTTCTTGAGGGATTAAAGTCTGATTTAAAAACACCAAAAAGATTTTCTTTTTTTTGAATATCTAGGTAGTATTCCTTGGTTTTTCTTTGGGCACCGGTTCTTTTCCAAGGATGTAGCTCGAACCGGGCACTTTAATTTCTTTTTAGGAGTAGTTTAGGAAGAAACTGAGTCGTTTTGAGATACTCATTGACATGGATTGATGCTAGCACATTAGGCTATGACATACATTCTGTTTTCCAGTGTATTTGGTTTGACTTGTGAAGCCTAAGTAAAGTAAATAGCCTATTTTGTGACGCCGTTTCTTAGTTGTTTGACTTGTATACTACATAGTGCAATGTTGCTTAAATTTCTCATTTAATTGTGCTTCCTTGACTTGAGAGTTGAACAAAACCGTCTTGATTGAGTCATGTGCAACGTGTGTGTGAGGATTTATGATTTTCTGTGCTATCCTGTGTAGTCTAGAACTTGCCCCGTGTGTTAATTGAAGCGAAATTGTAAGTTGTGCTATATCTAGGAGATGACGTAGGCATTTTATTGCTTGATCATGGATGTGCTTGTCACATAATAATAGAATTTTTCGTTGCTAGCCTCTTTGAGCCTATAGACCTTTCTTTTGGCACCCACATTACAAGTCATCCCCTATTTTGTTCTTAATTTGATATTGATTGAACCTTTACCTCCTAAGGCACTTAGTCGCTAAAAGAAGTAAGGTTAGAGATTGGGGAGTAGCTTTTGAGTGGAACCATGGAAGGGCCCGTTGGTGCACTAAAGTTGAAATCAAAAGTCACTAGCCGATGAACTTTAATGTATGGAGTGTGTGAAGAAAAGAAAAAAAAAAGAGAAAGGAAAAGAAAAATTGAAAGAAAAGAAAAAAATGATAGTGAAAGTATGTAGAAAATACTTCCAATTCTTAATAATTTGTGCTAGTGGGAGTATAGAAGTTCTTGAATGAACGTAAGGGCTATGTGTATATAGTTTGAGACAAGTAAATTGGTTGAGAAGAATATGTGCTTGAATTGTGAATGTAGTGTAGTAAAGTGCTTAGGAGAGTTAGTCACTATTTCTAAATGCACCATACCTGTCCCTTAGCCTACATTACAACTATAAAGTCCTAATTGATCCTAGATTTGGCTAGCTTAAATTAGTAGAGATATACACTACGGGCAAGCTTATGGTACAACCATGGGATGCATATGAATTCTTTGTGAGAGTGAGCGAATTTTGTTCAATTGTGCGATGTCCTTAATCTATATTCAAAAGTATATTTGAATGTGTGGACTATCTATATTCACTCTTTTGTTTGTTGGTAAGGGCACATGATCTCATGAATGATTGGTGATGTTGTAAACTTTCTTGTTGGGTAGGTGCATGAGTTGAGGGTGCTTAGTGGTTGCAAGTCGGCTCTTGAGTTTAGGTGGTGACAAATAGGTTGTTGGAATTTATTGAATTGAAATATTATACTTGGGTATGCTTAAACGGGAAGAATTTGAAATTTTGTGTGTTCATACTTGTGTGCCGATATTAATAATAGTCAAGGGTAGAGTGTGTGGTTAAAAGTTAAAGTGCTCCTCTAAAATTGATACTTGTACGTAGTTGGGGGGTTTATTAGATAGTCTCATTGCTCGAGGACGAGCAAGAGTCTAAGTGTTGGGTGTTGATGTTTAGCTTAAAGCATATATATATTTCTATGTATATCGCCTCATATTTTACATTTGTTTCGTGAATTTGGGATGTTAAATGCTATGATTTATATTAATTTGAAGTGTTTTTATGTGTAGGAATGATTCGGGAGCAACTGGGGGGCGATACGCGCGAGATTTGAGCCAAAACGAACGAAATTGGGCAATGTGCGAATTTGGGCGCCACCTGCCCTACCTGTGGCGCCAAAAATAGTAGCTCAAAATTGTGGGGCACCGTGGAGGGTGTCTGGCGCCGGTGACGTGAAATTTCTCCAATTTCACCCGGGACAAGGTTATTTCGGCCCTAGACCTACCTAACACGTATAAAAGCAAGACTAAACCTATTTTTGAGGGGAGAGACGTACCTTGGAGCAAAAAGACACGCAAGAAACATTGAGGAGCAGGAACATCTCAGAATTCTTCATCTTTTCTAGTATTTTCAATTAATCAAAACTTATGCAATTGTTTGATTACATCATGAGTGGCTAAACACCCATTGTTCTGGGGTTGTGATTTAGCCATGAATATTGTTGTTTAACGTTGACTTGACCTTGATTATAATTCACCAATATATGGTTGTTTCTTCAATTCTGTGTTTAATTGCTTAATTGTCTGGCCAGCAATTAGGTTCTATTTACTATCTATGCTATCCTTGGGAAAGCCATGTTTAGATTAGAGAAGAATTGAAGAGAGCATGATCTTAACCCTTAGGGGGAGCAGATTTGTGGTTAGGGTAGGAATATACCTAGTCACTGTGCTTAATTAAATATCGTGATTTTAATGTGTTCTTAATAGATTGATTTCATAGGAATATAGGCATTAATCTATTGAGAATAGGTGAATAGTACTTCGGGAGAAGGTTATGAGAGCATTTATCGATTAATTAGCAACCATGAGTGAATTATATGAAAGGGAGAGTTAATTAGAACACAATACGAATGGTGAATCGATCACAACTCTGGAATATTTGTCTCTACTGAATACACAACAATCAACTCGTTACTTGATAACTTAGTTATTATTTAGAATTGTAGTATAATATAATCATATTATTGGACTTTGATTTTAGCTGGATTGAATAACAATTTTAGTGATTTAGTGAGTAGTTTACACAAGTCTTTGTGGGTTCGACACTCAACTTATCATTATATTACTTGTCGACCACGTATACTTGCATGTGCGTTTGGGAGCAACAATTGTATTCATCAAATAATGCAATACAATACAATACATTATGAAACAATATATAACAAAATCCAAACAAGTTGTTGAGTGTACCCAAAAGGCTAAAAAAAAGGAGTAGGATGAGATAGAGGCATATTTAGAATTTGAAATTTATAAATTTTTACACGGACTTCAAGTTAATAATATAATAATAACTGAATTCATAATTAAATATTTATAAATACTTAGTCGATTTCTTAATACATAGGATCTGACTAAAAGTTAGTGGATCCGCACAAACCCATAGATTATACTATAATCCAGTTTTGGGGGAGGGAAAGATAAATAAATGATGATGGTCAATTAGGAAATTTTGCTTCATATTTGTACTTCTAACAATTTTTAATACGGATCATAAAGCAGATATCGAATATCGGATAGGAAACGGAAAAACTCTTTTATTTCTTTCTGAGATCTGATTGTTAAATGATAATTTTATAAATATAATATTTTTTTTATTTATCATCACCTTCCTCTATGTAGATTTTTTATTGTGTGATATGATTTTTCTTTCCTTTTTCATGTATGCTATTGGATTTTAGCAAATCAAATGTTACGCATGGAAATCCGAGTAACATGTGAAAAAAATCAAAAAGTGAAAATTGTTGTTATCGTTAGTTACATTATATAATACCAATCAAAGTTTAACTTATGCAATTTGAGAACAAAATAAAGGCGATTTAAATTTTTAATATACAGGGAAAAGAGTCGTATCACTATCCCTTAAATGATCTCTTAACGACAAAGGAGGCAGGAGTGCAAAGACAATAAGAGATTCGTATAGAAACAGACACCCTTAAGAGAGTGTATAATAGCTCATTGATCCGAGTATTGCTCCTCATGATTAATCTGAAGGGTTACTAACTCTTCTTGATGATGCCCGTTTGGCCAAAATGGCAAAAACTGCTTATTTTAAAAAGTACTTTTTTAGAAGTACTTTGAACATAATAATTTATGTTTGGCCAATTCATTTAAGAAGTATTTTTTACAATATTTGGTAAACAAATTGTGTTTGGCCAATCTTTCTGAAAAGTGCATTTGAGTGTCAAATTACCAAAAAGGATATTACCAAGGTCTTATAATTATTTTAAGGAGAAAAATGAACTTAAATATTTATCGTAAGAGACTTTTACTATTTTTTATTTTATTTAATTAAAATATATAATATAAAGTAAACATACATATTAAAGATTTAAATCAATATAACATATATAGTTATACCAAAGCATATAACATTATCTAGTATAATTATTTATTGTCCTAATCCAGTATGAATTAGAAGTCTATTTCACAAATTACAGTATATTGATAATCCACCGTGAAGTAATAAGCAAAATCACTCACACATGATAATATTTCTCAATAATTTCATCTCTAGTTATATCACACAATGCCTCCATATTAGTAGAAGACTTGCCTTGCATTTCTAAAGGACTACCAGAAGACCCATCTCCTTCCTCAATCTCTGCAGTAATGTCTTCATTAGCATAATAGTTGAATTCCTTATCGGTAGAAAAATGTGGTCGGATGAAATTAAGTATAACCATGGTAGTTGTAAAAAGATGATTCTGAGTGTCAAACTTGAAAGATGGCATTGAGCGTAAAATTTAAAAAACTTAGATATATAAAAAATTATTGTTTTCGTAAAAAAAATAGTTATGTATGTTTAAATTCAAGTTCAAGAAGAATAACTAATTATTAACAACACATAACACATATTTAATTTTTTAAAAATTTAAATTAAAAAAGAAACTAATTATTACCTAACCTAATTAACTTTGTCCTAAATTGTCATATGACCTATTGTTGGACTGTCACTAGGCTTAATTTGGAGGCTTTTTCTTCTTCTTTTAATAATATAAAGATTTTGTGATGCAATTGTAAATTTATTACCTATATGTGGGTCACAAATTAGATTTGATAATTATTTTAAAGATTTGGGATTAATAGCCTATAACATAAGAAATTATAAATGATTATTTGTAGGAAGAGCATAGATAATTCAAAGAAGGATGTAGTTTAGTGTGAGAAAGAAGAAGATAATTTGGAAAGTTACACGATATTACACAAAGAAAAAATCAAAAAAGAATTTGGAAAGTTACGATATATCCATATATATATGATATCTCCAATTTTAAAATAATGGTAGAAACTAGAAACATGGCGCAACTGGAGCTGACCGAGGACATGACCCTAGGCAGGAGAGTGTGGAGGTCGAAGATTAGGGTATAAGGTTCATAGGTAGTCAAGCGTTCCTCTTTGTCTTACTCAGTTCGCTAGTATTAGTGTTAGTATGATATCTTTTATTCATAGATGACTATTACTACCTATTATTAATCTCATAGATGACTATTTTTTGGAGGAATAGTCATCTATGAATTAAAATGAGAGATATGTAGGCTTTTTTCGTCCAAACATATATGCAGGTATTTTTTCAAAGGGAAAAAGGCCATTATTGCCCCCGTACTATTGGAATTTAAGCACGTTTGTCTCCCGTTACACTTTATGTTCAATCTCCACCCTACCGTTAATAAAGTTGATGCAATTACCCCTAACCCTAACGCCTCATCGATGTGGCTGCTGACCCCCTCTCTTTTTTCCAAGTCAGCTGCCAACTCAGACTTCCAACTCGTTATAAGCCCCAACCAACGGCTATTTACTCCCCAAAACCCAATTTTACTCCTAGTAATTTGACCCGTACCCAACGTCTTCTTTTCTCCCCCAAAATACACTCCATTGCTAAGAACTTAGGGCTCGACTGAAATCTTCCCAAAATTTCTCTTTTCTTCATTCTCGTCGTAGCTTTGGTTAATAAATGTCGCAAGGTAGATGTTCATCACAAATTAGGTGTCGTTGTGGCATTATAGCCAACCACTTCACTTCGTCGACTCCATATAACCCTGGAAGAAAATTCTACAAATGTCCGAGGCCTAAGGTTACCATATTGTTCTGGTTTTTTTTATTAGAATTTTACTTTAATTTTGAGTTTTCTTTTTGAATTATGTTTGAAAGCCTAGTTCATGCAGGTTTTGGGAATTTGAAGATGAAATCTTTCCGCAAAGTAATTGGACTAATATTAAAGATATAACATCGTCGATGGAGGAGATTAAGATGCAAAAGGACAAATTGATTGAAGAAGTAATTGTCATGAAGGCTATACACCAATATGAAATGGATAAAGTCGTCAAGTTGGAAGATAAACTTGCAAAGACAAGGATGTTTCTTATGATTTCTTGGGGACCGTTTCTTGGTTATTTTGCAACCTCGATGATGAAGTGACTTTTTTGCAACTTCAAAGTTGCTGATTTTGAGTTTTATATGTGTAGCTGACTTTTAGGTCAATTAAGCCATGTTGTAATAGTATTCTATTTTATAGTAGAATTTGTTGCTTTCCAGCAATGTTCTTTGATGATGATGTTGTAGTAGTATTTATTGGTTAGTTTTTCCCCTTATTGTATACCCTAAAGAAGGAGCTTTTTTTCTCCAACTCCTAAAGATGTTTGTTTTCTTTATAGGCTATGATAATATATTATTTAGTATACAAAAACTTTAAGGTTCCATTTCCAGCCATGTTCTGCAGATTCTATTTTGGCATGTTGAATAACTACATTCCAAGTGCAAAACTGGAAAAACAAAAGACAGCAGCAATCCAAGCTGCAGATTCTAAATGGCATGTTCTAAATTGCTTCCAATCCATTTCATTTGACACAAAAGATAGCAGCAAGTGTAAAACTGAAAAACTTACATTCCAGACATAAAAATTGTTAACTAGATAACTGAAAAACTGAAATTGGAAAGGGAACAGAATGGACAATAATTAACTGAACACCAACTGTCAACTTTCAAAGTATTCACCAACTATCAACATTCATAAAGTGAGTTTAATAAGACAACTGGATACCATATTATAACCCCCAAAAGATGTCTATCACCTAGTTATATCATGACATCCAAATGTCACAACTAAATAACCACAACCAAAATATAAAATATACTAACATGGCAGTAATTACAATACATCCAAAAATTTACAAATGTTTAATACTAGAAGCAAAGTCCCATTACTTTTGCTCCTTACCACTACCCTTTCTTGCTTTCAACTTGTTCAACCTTTGTTTGTTCAACTGATTTTTAGTGATGGCAGATTTTTCCAGCCATGTTAGGCCTTTTGCTGAGAAAGTAAGCTTTGAAGGCTGACTTGCACCTCTTGAATCACCAACAAATTCAATTTGCCTGGTTGCAATTGGTACATTTTTCTGCCTCAGCTGGAGTCTTGTCCTTACTTCTGAGATGCTCTTTGGTCTTAAAGCTATGTGAGGCTCAGGTTCAAAGTTAGGGATCTCAAAATCTAGATCATTGCTAGTTGGAAGTTGCCTTTGAACTGTAGGGGTTGGCATAAACACAAAGTTGTTGGACTGACTGTTTTGACTTGGCTGGGATGCTGATAAATGGAAGCCATCTTCAGTTGGAATATCTGCAGCAACTGGTGATGTAGGCTGTTCAGAATTAGGTTCATCAACCAAAGTTCTTTGTTTTTTATGCTTCCCCCTTGAATTGCCACTCATTGGTTGTTTTCCTTTAGAGTACTATTATCAAATAGAACAAAATTATATGTTAGAATAAGGCAGAATAAAATAGAAGTTCAAAGTTATTATTCAAGAGATAGATTACCTTGGCACATCCCCTAGCATTATGTCCATGTTCTCCATAATTATTACACGTCATTACTCTCCCTTTTCTAGATTGAAACCATTGCCCTTGTCTATTGGTTGACTCATTTGCCTCTCTTGTTCTTTTCACTTTTGGTCTGCCAGTCTGTCTTACAAATTCAGGTGGTTCTATATTCTGGGAAGGCTCTAACTTTCAGAACTTTTCTCCTCTCACAGGTTGTAACTTATGAGAATAAGTCTGGAGATATGCCTCTTTTGAAAGGTACCAGTGAATCTCACTTAAAGGATCAACCTTCTTGTACAGTAGGGCACAAATTGCATGAGGACATGGAATTCCACAAAGGTCCCGTATCCTACAAATGCATTTTTTTGCCCCCAGATTGACAATATGCCTATCACTACCTTCTGCCACCTCATAACCTTGGTTAGCACTATCATTCACATGACATTTTTGTGCAATCCTCATGAATTAGTTATGCAATCCCCACCCATCACTTTAGCTTCATTATCATTCAACATATTTATAACCTTGATTCTGATCTCCTCTAATATTTTTATAATTGGCTTGTATCTCGCTTGCAATATACATGCATTGAATGACTCAGTCAGGTTATTATCCACTGACTAGTTCTTGCAGGTAGTATCGAATAAGGCCCTACTCCAACAAGTAGGTGGATACTTGAACAGATCTTCACCAACAACTTTACCATCATTATCCAATTGACTCATACTCTTTAACTAATTTTGGAAATCTTCTTCATAGGTACTCCAAGCTGCCCACCACAGATAGTTCTTATATTCCCCAGATCCCCATCTCTTGCACCAATTTGCTTTCATGTGTCTAACACAAAATTGTGGTGTGCCTCAGGAAGAAATCCCTGAGATTGAATAAATCAGCCCCTACATATAAAGGAAAGAAGAAGTATGAGAATCTATATGTACAGATTGATAAAATAATTAAATAATTAAATAGTAAAGTAAACTGTTCATACCTTTTGCATATCTGAGATAAAAGTGATTCCTTCACCCATCTTAAGGTCCACTGACATTTGTAGATGACCTAAAACCATCCTAACTTCAGCAATATCTTTGAATGTCATTGATCCATCCAACTCTTTATAGTCAGTCAATTTATCATTAATGTCTCTCTTCTTTTGTTTAAAAAGTTTCTCTAGTGTGTCACAATCATAGTATGAAGAAACAACATATTCATTGTCATCACAATTATCACTTTCATCACAATCAGTGGCAGCTTCAAGTTCATCAGGTTCATCATGCTCATTGTGATGGGTTATGTTAGGTACATTAATACTTGGCTCACATTCTTCTACAACAAATATGTTACTAACATTAAGCTGGTTGTTCATAAAGTCTAGTAAAGTCCTAATGCCATAATCACCTTCTATTTTATAGTATGTACCAGAAGGACCATTAACTATTAGTTGTTGGACTCCTATATACCCCAAGTTAGAAACATATTCATCCACTAAATCATTATAGGAAAGCAAGTCAGAGTCAAAACCTTTCTTAATGTGCAGAAAATTTCTTGAGTATGCTACGAGTGGTTTCTTGACCCATTCTCCACCATGATGAAAGACCAAATCCAGGAGGACTATTGTTAGTAAACTGCAGAATAAAGTTAGTTAAAATTAATAAACTAATAGATATAAATAAAGGCATAAAGACATATAGATAATAAAATAGAATCAACCACAAATTGAATAAGTCAGTCAACATTAATAAACTAATAGATGCATCCATGGATATGGGGACCATACATTACAATATTAAAGGGAATAAAGCGTCCCAGCCCCACCCTCCAATAAATAACGCAGAAAAGAACAAATAAAAGCCAATATTAAAATTCTGATTCACTTATTTTCTATAAAAAAAAAAACCAAAAGAAGTTGGGACCACAAAATATTAAAATTGAAACCCTAAATCACCAAAAGACTATTTAATACCTGATGAGTCATATGCAAACAAAAAGAGTAGAATTAGAGTTTATTACTTTAAAACCACATGCAAGTGAATACAAAAATAAAACACACACTACCAGCTTGAAATTATCGACAAAGATAGGAGAAGTGAAAATCCTAACCAACCAAGAACTACTCTGTAAACCCTAACTTCAATAAATACCAAATTAGCAAAAATTAGAAACCCTATGACAACTACACACACCTATAAGCTTCAAATAATCGAAAAAGAAAAGGGGAACTGAAATCCCTAACCAACAAAGAACAAATCTGAAAGGGATTCGAAACACCAGTAAAACTTTCTTGGGAATTTTTTTTTGGGATAAAACAAGAAAGAGATAAAGCTAACAGAAACATCAAGTTTTTGGAGAAAAATTTCTTACCCTTGCTTGAAATCGCCACTGGAAGCAAGGATCCTGACCGGTTTGGTTCTCTCGTTTTCTTTGAAGTACCAGAAGGTTGACCAAAAGAGGTGAATAAGGTGTTTTAAAAAGGGTTAATTCTATTTATTTAGTGGGAAAACAGTTACGGGTTACAGATCAATCTGATTTGCGAGTGGGATTGGGTCAATCTGATTTGGTCGTCCGTTGGCAGCTGACTTGGAAAAAAGAGAGGGGTCAGCTGCCACATCGACGAAACGTTAGGGTTAGGGGTAATTACATAAACTTTATTAACGGTAGGACGGGAATTGAACCTAAAGTGTAACAGAGTACAAACGTGCTTAAATTCCAATAGTACCGGGGCAACAATGGCCTTTTTCCCTTTTTCAAAATACCTCCAGAAAATTTCTCTCCCTCGCGCTGTCTCTCTCCCCGACTCCCACATCCACGCAAAAAAGGAAAAAAAAGAAGCATATCTCTCTCTTTCTTCTTTATCAACCCTAATCCTCTGTATTTCAATTTTCTGTATTTCTTACTTTCAATTCAAATCCCTTCCTTCTTTATCTGCATATTTCAATCCCAACACCGACTGTCAAATCATTAGCATTCGATTCATGGCGAACAGAGATGCAGACCCCAATCTGGGGTACCTCACTCGAAAAGAAACAGAGGTAAAGCTTCCTAGACCTACACGGGTGAAGAACAAAACCCCAGCTCCAATCCAAATCACCGCCGAGCAAATCCTCCGGGAAGCTAGAGAACGTCAAGAGGCCGAAATCCGACCGCCGAAGCAAAAAATCACTGACCCGACCGAACTAGCCGATTACCGCCTCCGCAAGCGCAAGGAATTCGAAAGCTTAATCAGCCGAGTCCGCTGGAACAAAAGCGTGTGGGTAAAATATGCTAAATGGGAAGAATCACAAAAGGACTTCAAACGTGCTCGTTCAGTTTGGGAGCGAGCACTCGAAGTCGATTACAGGGATCATACGATGTGGCTGAAGTATGCTGACGTGGAGATGAAGAATAAGTTTGTGAATCATGCTCGTAATGTGTGGGATCGTGCTGTTACGCTTTTGCCTAGGGTTGATCAGTTATGGTACAAGTATATTCACATGGAAGAGATGCTTGGGAATGTAGCTGGCGCGAGGCAGATTTTTGAGAGGTGGATGACATGGATGCCGGACCAGCAAGGGTGGTTAAGTTACATTAAGTTTGAGTTGAGGTATAATGAGGTGGATAGGGCGAGGGCGATTTTCGAGAGATTCGTGCAGTGTCATCCGAAAGTTAGTGCATGGATTAGGTTCGCGAAATTTGAGTTTAAGAATGGGGAGGTAGCGAGGGCGAGGAATTGTTACGAGAGGGCTGTGGATAAGTTGGCGGACGATGAGGAAGCAGAGCAGTTGTTTGTGGCGTTCGCGGAGTTTGAGGAGAAGTGTAAGGAGACAGAGAGGGCAAGGTGCATTTATAAGTTTGCACTTGATCATATTCCGAAAGGGCGAGCTGAGGATTTGTACAGGAAGTTTGTGGCTTTTGAGAAACAGTATGGTGATAGGGAAGGTATTGAGGATGCTATTGTGGGGAAAAGGAGGTTCCAGTATGAGGATGAAGTAAGGAAGAATCCGCGGAACTATGACGCGTGGTTTGATTATCTTCGGTTGGAAGAGAGTGTAGGGAATAAAGAGAGGATTAGAGAGGTTTATGAGAGAGCCATTGCTAACGTTCCTCCTGCTGAAGAGAAGCGGTATTGGCAGCGATACATTTACTTATGGTAAATCTGATAGCTTATGCATTGAATGTGATATTTGAATTCTTTTTTGGATACCTTAGTATTGCAATTATGTTTATTCGCTGACTTTGCTCTTTTTAGGATTAATTATGCATTATATGAAGAGCTTGACGCACAAGACATGGAAAGGACCAGAGATGTCTACAGGTAAAATATCATTGTCGCGATTGAAAATGTAGCTATGTAGTTCATTTGGTTGATGAACCATGTTATTTATCATGCTTTATATTTAAAACTGATTGACCTGGATGGAGGGCCAAATGTAGTAATCTAGCTTTATCAACAGTGCTTTCCCTTATGTCTAGATTATCTCTTCCTTAATTAGAAGGCCTGCAAGGGTTCTGCGGCTTGTCTCGAAATTCTTCTAGTATTCTCCTATTAATTGCATGGATTAGGTATACTTTACCTTATCAAAAAAAAAATGCATGGTTTAGGTAATTATCGAAAAGAATTGCATGGTTTAGGTCGTTATACACTGACAGTAGGAGTGCTGAGTCAAACTGGTAAACCCAGAACTCCACCTTATAAACACAACTTATCAGTCTTGATTCTGCTCCATTCATTTGTCTTATTCGGCGTTGTAGCATGATCAGTATGCAGCAATTACATCTACCATTAATTTCTGGTGTACCGACCCCATTACTAAAGGATCATTACTTGTATTAAATGATCAAAACCATCCAAGGAAGCCTTCCAAGAATCCAACAAATAGTAGCGAGGGTTTAGTCAAAATAAGCGTCAATAGAGGAAGTGCGCAGAAGCAGCACATCAAGCTAATCACAGTCAAAGTATATAACAATATGCACAAATAGAGCATATAAGGTTATGCACCCTATCTCGACCAAGCAAGGTTAGGAATGCTACAGTTGAGTTCTGATATGCCTTTTGATGTTTTATACTGTAAACAGGGTAGATTTATCTCTATGAGTTAATACGAGACTAGTTCTTGCACAGTAAACATTTGGGGCAAAACATTTTATTCCTAGGATTCCTCAGCTTGCATTTATCCAGCAGAATTATTTTTTTGTTACGTAAAGTAAAATTTTATTCATGTATCAGCATCAATTGTATGCTGGTATAGACATCTGAGTACAAAAAACGTATCGTACATTGTAAAAAAACATGTTGCTCCAAAAAGAAAGTAAGAAATACAGTTAAACTTAAGAGTAGATACATTCTTCTTTTGTCTTTCATAATTCTTGAGTTTCTCTCCTTTCATATAAACTCCTAAATTGTCCCAGGTATTGTGTTCCAATTTCTTGAATGAACACCCCTCAGAGTCCTTTTCTGGCAACCTTGCAGCAGCTTCACTGTGCCTCTTGTCAGTCTACTGTTAACCCAACAACAACAACAAAACCCATAGGTGGGGTCTGGGGAGGGTAATACACATTACCTTACCGCTACCTTGTGAAGGCAGAGAGGCTATTTCCGATAGACCCTCAGCTCAAGGAACAGTGAAAATAAAGTAACAAACAGTGGCAACAACAATGCAATAGGAGCAAATGACACAACATGTAATAATAAAGAACCAGGAGTAAGAAAAATACAAAAATAGTACTAGTACTACAAGATTAAGAGACACTAACGACTACATGTCAACCTTCCACCCTAATTCTCGATCTCCAATGTTAACCCAAAATATTGAAAAAAAAGTCCCACAATTGTGACGTAATTTTGCAATGCATAAAAATATAGTTTGTGTCTTCTGGTGCTCTTCACAGAGAGGGAATCTACTGCAGATGTTCAAACTT